TTGGAGTGTTCCTATAAAGAGAGCATATTAATTTACAGTGGAATAAATATATAGTAATGGTGCCAAAAAGGTCTCAGTCACAAATGCATGGAATTTCATGTCATGAAAGAGTTCACTATTTTATCTCTGCATTTTCTGTTTAAAATAAAAAAAACAGACCTTTAGAAAAAGAAACAATTGAATTTAAAAAAGTAAAACCTTCTTTTTAGGCAGGCAATTCCACATCTGCTGTAGACAATATAGTAACGGACATTAAATAATTCCATCTAATTTCTGACTATAATGATATAATGATAATGTTGAATTTTGACTCACTAACTACTTACAATATTTTTAATCAATTATGAATAATATACTGACCTACCACAGATTAAGGATTTATACTTATGGATTGCAATGTTACAGATTGTGATAACTCCTTTTGATCAAATCTTAATAATCTCCTCCATATTGCATGGCCAAACAGGGGCAAGAATTATGAATTGCAAATTCCACTGGTATATGATATTTTACATTGATATATTGATACTGATATTTTCCTATTTTCTCACCACTGCTTTATTTATAATATTTTTTTAGGAATTAGCTTTACAATTAAAACTGTATTGACGTAAGACTTCTTCGCTGCTCTATTCTATGTGATCTCTATCTGTTTTCTATCATTAGAAGTCTTGTATTCAAGGGTGGACTGTCTATGCAGGCACTTGGGCAGTGCCCAAAGGTCCGGGCCAGAGAGGAAGTACTATAATACCGTCGACAGATTCCACAACTCAGAGCATTAACAATTACTGATGGCGCTGTATAGGCCATTTTTAAACTTGGTAAGTGCCAGCCAGCTTTCAGTGAGGGGACCCCATTGTGTTGTTACCATGTTCCATTGTTTGGTTTTCCAATCCTCAAGGACCAACCACTATATGCAATTAATGATGGTCATCATACCTTTTTCAGCCATCCATAAACTTGGGAAGTGCCACCCAGTCAGCTTCCATTCTTCTCTGGCAGGAAAACTCTGTCCCTCTTCTTAAATGCAGGCCAGGAGGACCATGCATACCTTAAACTTGAAGGGACCCCCAGTTTGCCGGTGGGCCCCTCTGTGCAGCACTACAGCCTGAGGATCTGCACTAACCAAGAAGATGTTGTATTTGGTGTTAGGGCTTAACAGCCTGAAACAAAACAATTATATTGAAATACAGAAAGAATAACACAATTCCAAGTAATGTAGTGGTCGTAGAATCAAGATGTGATGAAAAGAGGCTTCCAATAAGCAAAAGAAAAAGAGAACGGAGTGTTCTGAAAACAGGATATTAAGTAGTAAAAGTAAATAGGTAATATATAAAACTTGACTTGTATTAGGTATGTTCTAAAACAATTAGATAAATAACACTCTAAAGATAGAGAACTCAATGTGAATAGAAATAAAAATAGTAGAGGAAAGGGAGAGTGAGATAAGTTTCCTAAGTATGGTGTCTTGACAGCAGTAGTTTTGAACAGAGAAAAGTATCTATATATGAATGAAAATTATATCTTAATAAATTACTTGAAAGTAATAGCCATAATCAAAAGTCTCTATAACACTACCTCTGTAGTCTAAGCCCTATCTGTGCCTTCGAGGGTACCTCGAAAAGAAATTCACAGTATAAGAGCTAAATCTAATAGACTCCCTTTCTCCTACAGTCTAAAATGCTAGCGGTGAAACAGAAAATAAAAAAGACAAAAGAAAAGGAAAATCCCATTGCTAAAGTCTCATAGCATGATCAATTGAAAGATACTGATCTAATATATAGATGGGAGTCCTAAAGCCCCTGACACGAGAGTTTCGCCAACAGACTCATCAGAGGGGAACCGGTTGAGGTAAGTAACTGATAGTTATAGGGGGAGAAAGGTTCCAATTGGTGTAATTCAAAAATACAAGGACCAATCAGACAACACACATCTGATGTAATGCAATTAAGAAGTCTGATATGAAAATTTACTCAACAGTTTCTGTTGTGGGAATGGTCAACTAAATAGTGTTTTGGAATTTTAAGCAAACAAGGGTTTATTCAGATGTAACTGGATTTATATCGGAGAGATTTTTAAATACAGATTGATATCTGTTATTAAATGCAGTTGATTCCGATCTTAAAGAATGATGTTCGATAATAATTTTAATTAGGAGAGATAACAGCCAGATCTGATGTTTGAATATATTGAGGTCAAATTGATATTGCAAGTGTTCCAACAGCAGGATACATGCAATATTAAGTCAATTTTTGTATCAGACTTCTTAATTGTATTACGTCAGATGTGTGCTATCTGATTGGTCCTTGTATTTTTGAATTACACCAATTGGAACCTTTCTTCCCCTATAACTATCAGTTACTTACCTCAACCGGTTCCCCTCTGGTGAGCCTGTTGGAGAAAAAACATGCGTGTCAGGGGCTCCAGGACTCCCATCTATATATTAGATCAGTATCTTTCAATTGATCACGCTATTAGACTTTAGCAGATGGGATTTTCCTTTTCTTTTTTCTTTTCTCTTTCACCGCTAGCATTTCAGATTGTAGGAGGAAGGGAGTCTATTAGATTTAGCTCTTATACTGGGACTTTCTTTTTGAGGTGCTGTCAAAGGGGAAAGTATTTGAAGGGTTATTAAGGGATAATATACAGAAATTCATTGGGAAGAACATTGCTTTTAGCAATAATCAGTATTGTTTTATAAAACATAGGCCATGTCAAGATAACGTAATTGCATTATATGGAGAAGTAAGTAGAAATATAGATTAGGGGTTTTCAGTGGCTGTGATCTACTTGAATTTTGCCAAGGCATTTGATACAGTCCCTCAAAATAGGTTAGTGTCCAAACTATAAGAATTAAGTCTAGATGACATGTTTTTGTCCTTGGTTAGAACATTGCTTAAGGATAAAGTATTGAGAGTTGTCATTAATGGTAATGATGGACATTGCACAAACTTGGCAACAATGTGCAATGTCTATCAGCAGTTGCTAAGGCCAGAAAGGTATTGTCATGTATAAATAGAGGCATTAAGTCTTGGGATGAAAATATAGTTTTGCCTCTTGATATATCACTGGCGAAACTACACCTTGAACATGCTGTGCAATTCTGGGCACCTGTTCTACAGAAGGATATTATGGCACTAGAAAAAGTTCAGAGATGGGCTATGAAATTAATAAAAGGAATATTTTAGTTATGAAGAAAGATTAACAAATGTAAATGATGACTCTGTTATTTGCCATGATGCATAGTCTTCTTTATATAAAAAATTGTATGTGTACACATAAAATATCGGGTTTTATGTCTGTATTTGTTTTCTGACTACCTGCCCGTCGCAATCCACTACCCTGAAGACTTTTTATGCGTTCCAAGGTGGAACGCACGCCATGATTGAAGACGTCATAGACGCACACGGAATGTCATCAAACCCGGAAGTAAAGACCTGCGAAGAAGCAAATGCTGGTCCAGCTGCCGAGCATTAAGCTCAAAGGCCACCTATATATTTGATGACTCCCCTGGAGCAGCTACATCAATCCCTGAGGAAGTCCGAATAGACGAAATGCATAGAACTTGTGCAGACTTTCTTTAATTTGTATTTTATTTGTATATTTTACTGTATGTTTGCCACCCTGCATGTGGATACTCTGGAGCTTACCTTTGAAATCCGGACACCACGATGGTTGTGGAGATATGCCTTATTTTATCTGATATCCTGTAAGTGCAATATTGTGCAATAAATATGTTACATTTTAATACCATCTGCACTATATATTTTTTCTTCCTTCTGCTACTCTGAGCCATTAAGAAGACCGTGCTTGAAGATAAGCCATCTACTTCCCTGACCCTATGTATGGGAGAAATGCCTGAATATACATCGATCTAGTGAGTTTTCTACCACCCTCACCCTAACATTTAACCCTTACATACTACACCACATGTATTTTTATTTACTTTACAGAATATGTTGTATTGTTTTTTCAGGTTGTATAATATTTTTATTATTCACCCACTTGGTGTTTGGTTATTTGTAGCCTGTATTTATTTAGTCCACTTAAGTACCCTTTTTGTTTTTCTTTTTTCGTCTTAACTATTTCAAGTGTCTTGAGAGGGAACACATTTTCCTTAAAATGTCTGTTTGTATTTTGGAAGCATATAGTGAACCATCCTTGTGAAATAACAAATGTTAATATCTTTAGTTTGGAGAAACGGTGCCACAGAGAGGATATGATAGTATTATAGAAATATATTCAGGGCCAATAAAAACCATAGTCATAAATCTATTCATAAACAGAAATATACATAGGACACCGCGTCACGCATTTAGACTGGAAGAAAGGAGATTTAGGCTAAGGCAAATTAAAGTTGGGTTTTTTTACAGTAAGGGCAATAAGGATGTGGAATTCTCTGCCCGCAGATGTGGTTTCATCAGAGTCTGTATTTATGTTTAAACAGCAATTGGATGAACACTTGCAAAATATATTGTTCTGAGCTATACTTTTTAATTAGTGAGGTAATAGGTTCTTGAACCAAGGAGAGATCTATCTACCATTCTGGGGTCAAGAAGGATTTTTCCCTAGTTTGTTGCAAAATTGAAAGTGCTTCAAACTATTTTTTTTGCCTTCTTTTGGACCAACAGCAAAAAATATGTCAGAAAGGCTAATTGGTGCAAGTCTCTTCTCAGCTATGTAAGTATTTATAACATAATAAGTATACAACAAATTGATAATATTTAAGCATGGGATACTGATTGTACTTATTAACAACTGGAGTATACCTCTTTGACCAAGTTGTGTTCTGTATGAAGTACTTTAAAGGATTTGGAACTTCAAACACAGAATAAGCCAACCAGGAAAATTAGAAATATGTAATGTAACCCTTAGGATTCTGAAATTATACAGAACAAAGAACTACAAAGGGAGAAACATTATGCTGCAAATTGTGATATTCTAATGTAACTGATTTCTAAAAATAATGAAAGCCAATTATATTCAAATACTTTATTGTACAAATATCTGTCAGTAACAATGCCTGTTATTAAAGAAACATGCATCACTAACTTTTTTTTAAAACCAGCAAACACCTTTTAAAGAAAAACAAAAAACGTTATTTTTAGTTGTGCATGAAACCTTGACATATTAGTCCACACTGAGGTCAGGGGTATTAGTGCTTGGGACTATATGGGGTGACAGTGTGTGGTACTACTGTGGTAGATCAGAGTGGTAAGAGTGTCCAATACCCCCTGGACACCACTCAGGGGGCCGTTAGGTGTGCATGGTTATCTGAAGTGCTGCTTAGATCAAAAATAGGAGCAGATTCTAGGACAGAAAATTATAGAGCACAGGAGAGAGATAGACAATACAAAAGAAATACGAAAAAATTACTAATAATCTTGTGTACAAATATTCATCAGCGGAAGATAGCTATAATTTGTATGCATTTGTGGTAATGAGCAAACTGCAGAACGTGCAAGCGTGAAAACCCGGTAACACCCCAACAAAGGGTGACCAATAGGTGAAGGTAAGTCATGCCTCCATCAGCCAATGTTCGTTCCTGAGCGGGGCACAAAGGGGAAAACATTTTGTATGTCCCATGAGTTACTTTCTTTAGGGTTAGAAGCCTTATTCAGAGTGAGGTCTAATTCAGGACTCTGAGGCCTCTGGATTCGTGAGCTGGTAGGTATTCCCCTACTTGGTGGTGATAAGGGTGCGTGGCTTCCCTGAGTGTCTGTGTGACCTGGCGGACCGAGTGTCTCCAGTCCAAGATGGCCTTGTATAAGTCCTGCAAAAAGGTAAGGTGCATATCCTCAAACTGGAATGAGACTCTCGACTTGATCTCCTTCAAGACCGCCAGCCTGTCCCGGAATGATTGAAAGCAGAATAGGACATCTCAAGGGGCCGCCTTTGGTGCCCTGTTGGACTTCGGGAGTCGTGAGGAGCAATCCACTGTCATGCGTTTGGTTTCTGTGGTGGCAACAGAGCCAAGAGAAGGCACGTAAGAAAGTGTGGCAGTTCCACGTCGGTGATGGATTCCATGATTCCGATAATTTTGAGGTTGTTTTGCCGACATGTGTCGTCTACTACATCCATCCTAACCTGCTTAGACCTGCATGTCATTTGGAGGTGCTGGATCTGTTCTGCGGCACCCACATGGTGCTGTGAGAGGATTGTAACCTCCTCTTCAGTGGCCTTTATTCGGTCGGTGACAGCCATCAGCACTTCTTGTACCACTGCCAGTTCTCTGAAACTGCTATTTATAAAAAAAAAAAAGGGTTAATCCTAGAAGAACCTGGCACCCAGACCACTTCATTAAGCTGAAGTGGTCTGGGTGCCTAGAGTGGTCCTTTAAGGAATACTTATATCAATTATTTGTTTATGGAAGGGAATGTATTTTTTATTTTTACCAATTAGCATGAAATGGACTCTCTAAGGAACACAATCTCCAACTACCTCAAATAACTAATGGCAAAATTAAAGGAGCATTTCATGAAAGAAGTTAAATGTTAACACAAGTTCTAGGTATACACTATAAATTATTATATTAATCATATGAAAATATTTCAGAAATTTTCAAATCCCTCAAAATTTTCATATTTAGGTCCTCCTATCTGAAAAACATTTAATTTAATCCACCAAACTATAAGCTCATCAAATAATATTTAGAATATTAAATTCCTCATTCATTTGTGTTTTGGAGATAGATATTCCTTTTGGAGATTGGAGAATTCTATCACCAATCACCATTTTTTCACTTTAGGGTATCTCGCTGTATAACGGTGTTTCTGGGCTCATCTGGTTAAACTCCACTCTTTCCTTTTGTTCACATGATGAGTATTGCTGATTTTCCAAGTTGTATGGTGAAACGGATGTACTCTGCCACTGGTGAAAAAAATAAAAAAATGGTTATTTACAATAGTATAGCATAGAAATTAAAGATGTAATAAGATGAATAAATGTTTCATTGGATTATATATTGAGCAATATTTATTAATTACAAGCAGATTCTATTGTTGGAAAAATATTAATATGTGAAGAAGCATTCAATTGGTTTCCATGGTGATTGCTCATTACTTAGCACTTTGATTCAGGATAGAATTAGAATTTGTTCTTAACTTAAAATACATCTCTTAATGTCTGTCTGTTTATCTCTATATAGATTTATACTGAGCATAAATAAAGCAGGTGTTGCCTCAATGGACTATAAGGAAAACATTACAAAATAATCGGCTTATTCACATAACACTGAACTGCAATGAATTGAAAGCTGAATTGCAAAACTACGGCTCAAAGTTTTGAATTGTAAAAATTCCCCAGTTTAGCAGCTATAACTGTAGCTCGGCTATGTTAGCCACAATTTAGATGTTTTGGTTTCAACTGACTATAATTTGATGTTTAATGAATAAACACGAATGTGAAAGGTAGAAAGAATAGAAGCAAATAACAGTATGTTGGGATTTGTGGTAGTGGAGAGGTTTATATATATATATATGTGTGTGTATTTAAAAATAGAATTACTGAGTGTTGAAACGCGCAAAACAGCATACGAGCCAGCTGTCCCAAATTTGCATGGACAGTCCTGCTATCTCTAGATTTTAAAATGCAGGAGGCAACTGAGAACTAGGCCCATGCACAGAATGCTTCAGCAACACTTTATGAATGGTCTATTTAAGGGGGAGAGCTGTTAGTCATCCTGGCCACCCATCTGAGCGGCAAGCCTGCCTTCTTCGATGAACTGTATGGACCCTGCTCTCTTCCCTGCCCACCTCCATCCCTCCAAAGTATGCAGGGAATGTTGGTAGGTTTGAAAAAAGGTGATAGAGATGCCAAGTGAGTAAAGTTGCAGGCTATGGGGAACACCACCGGTTTATTTACTAAAGTGAGAATTTAAAGTGAATTCAAAGTGAATATTTTTAAGCCAAAGTAGCTGAACTGAAAGTATGACTGATTTAAAGAATTTCCCTAGTTTGGCTTTTTGTCCTTATATTTGGAATTCACTTTGAATTCTCAGTTTAGTAAATCACTCTGATGGGGTCTACACAGCAGAGTTTTTAGTCATATAGAGGAAAATAGCATTTTATGTCAAAGCAACATTGCAGCATTATAAATTAGTATATTTCTTTCTAACAATGGAGTGTTGTTAAGTTTACTGGGCTCCCTTTCCTTCCTAATACCTGTAAAAGAAAGCAGTTATTATACTTATCTCTAATTCAGCAGCAATAGGGTCTCCCTGCTGCTGCTCCTCTCCACCCAGTGTCAAACATATTGCACCCCTCACACACACTTCACCCCACACACACACACACACACTACTGCCCCTATCCTCTACTACAGTCCCTATCGCGGTAGACGTCAGGTAAGTTGTCAAAACTGTTCTTAAAGGGAAACTCCAGTGCCAGGAAAACAATCCCCTCTCAGGTCCCCTCTCCCTCCCCTTCAGTCACTTACCAGAGGCAGCAACATGTCCCACGTCATTGCTTCTTCCTCCGTCGCCGCTCCTCCTCTGCATTACGTCGGCTGGTGGGCGAGACTGATCCCGCTGGCCAGCTGGGGAGACCAAATGCGCATGCGCATTAGAGCTCCCCATAGGAATGCATTGAAAATGCTTTTCAATGCTTTCCTATGGGGAATTGAGCAACGCTGGAGGTCCTCACACAGCGTGAGGACGTCCAGCGACACTCTAGCACAGAATCTGTGCTAGAGACACAGAAGTGCCCTCTAGTGGCTGTCTAGTAGATAGCCACTAGAGGTGGAGTTAACCCTCCAGGGTAATTATTGCAGTTTATAAAAAACTGCAATAATTACACTTGCAGGGTTAAGGGTTGTGAGAGTTGGCACCCAGACCACTCCAATGGGCAGAAGTGGTCTGGGTGCCTGGAGTGTTCCTTTAAAGCTGTAAAAATGCATAACTTACACCAGTCTTCAAGGCAAACTGACAGGCTAGCATTTATAATTTTTCCAATTGTGTTCTCATGGGGATTTTGACAAAACCTAAACCATTGACGTGCCTTGATTGGGAACCACTGATTTATATCTCTACAAAGACAGACTTATTCCCATAGTCTAGATTTACCAATTAATATTATGCTATATTTAACATTGCATCTTATAAACAGAGCTTTTTTTTGTTTTACATTTTTGGCTTCTGATTTTTTTCTTGAATTGATTTTTGATTTATTTCAGTTACTAGTCTGGTTGTCTATTGTATTTTAAAGTTGCCCGAATATATATATTTTTTTAAATTCTTTATTTTTGCAGTGCAGGTATTTACGGTCAAGCTTGTGATGCCACAATAGCACAAACAAACACAGTAATAACAGACAGTTGATTACATTACGTGCAATTGTCCAAAAATATATTTTGTGTTCACAAAGTGCATTCAGTGCAAATCAAATAGTAACAGAAAAGAAACGTCCCTGTACCAGGAGAAGCTGCAAAGGTCCCCGAAGACTTCCTCTTGTCTTCCATAATATATGTATTCAAAAAATAGGGTAATATCTGCTAAACTAACTGAAAGCAAAACAACATAGCTTATAACTGTGTGGATAAAGTGCCGAGTAGTACAATCCCAATTGGTCACTCACAATTTCAACGAAGGAAAAAAGCCTTGAATGTAATTCCCCCTCAAAAGGTTTTAGTATTCTGGATGTTTTCAATTCAGAGTCACCACTAGGCGTACAAGGCATTTTTCCTTCATAGAAATTGTGAGTGACCAACCGGGATTGTACTATTTGACACATTATCCACACAGTTATATGCTATCTTGTTTTGCTGTCTGTTGGTTTAGCAGATGTTCTGCTATTTTTGTATAAAAGATTACATTAGTATGGAAGTCAGAAAAACTGCACAATTTTATATGAAGAATAGTTAGGCAGAGTAAACATGTCTAAACAGTGAATGCAATAAAGCATGCAAACTAAGAATGTAGCTTAAAGGACCACTATAGTGCCAAGAAAACACACTTGTTTTCCTGGCACTATAGTGCCCTAAGGGTGCCCCCTCCCGCCGGGCTCTAGGGTGAGGAAGGGGTTAAAATCTTACCTTTTTCCAGCGCCGGGGAATCTGGGGAATCGCTGGGGAATCTCCTCCTTCTTCTGCCGTCATTGGCTGAATGCGCATGCGCGGCAAGAGCCGCACGCGCTTTCAGCCAGTCTCATAGTCAAGCATTCTCAATTCTGAAAATCACAGTGAGAAGGGCGGAAGCACCTCTAGTGGCTGTCAATGAGACAGCCACTAGAGGCTGGATTAGCCCTAATGTAAACATAGCAGTGTCTCTGAAACTTCTATATTTACAGCTGCAGGGTTAACCCTAGATGGACCTGGCACCCAGACCACTTCATTAAGCTGAAGTGGTCTGGGTGCCTACAGTGGTCATTTAACCCCTTAAGGACCAAACTTCTGGAATAAAAGGGAATCATGACATGTCACACGTCATGTGTTCTTAAGGGGTTAAACTGGGTACAAACAAAATAACATCCGAGACGCCCCCAGGAAAAGTGACTTGCTGCACTTTTACATACACCAAATTCAAATTAATTCCAGAGATTATGGCAATAATTCCAGAGATCTATACTTTGAATATATATTTTGACACATTTTTGGTACCTGAGAGTCTTTACTACATGCATAAAACATTGTGTCTTCTGTTGCCTGTCTTTCAACACTGTTGCTTCCTTCAACTGAAGAGAAAAAATAAATAAAATTTATAGTCTTACAGCAAAAGACCACTTCTAAACCAAAATACAAAAAAAGTTTAACAGTGTGTAGGCGCTACCAAATCAGAAACACACAGGAGAGTAGTATAAGTGTATCCCCCAACACTTAAAGAGATAAGTTGCACAATAAAAATACTACACCAATTAACAGTACTTTTATTATTAGTATTATAATATTTATATAGCTCCAACAAATTCTGTAGCGCTTTACAATGAGTGGACTAACAAACATGTAAATGTAACTAGACAAGTTTGACGCACAGAAACAAAGGGATTGAGGGCCCTGCTGAATGAGCTGACATGCTAAAGGGAGTGGGGTAAAGTGACCCAAAAGGTAAGGGAAGTGCTAGGGAAGTAGATTGGTAGAATAGCATTCAATGAAGACTTGGTGTGGGGTTTTGGAGCCATTAACAGTTTAATTTATATGTTTTTGTGAAAAAGTGAGTTTTGAAGGAGTGGAGACTAGGTCAGCATCTAACGGAAAAGGGAAGGGAGTTCCACAGGAACAGTGCAGCCCTAGAGAAGACTTGAAGGCGAGCATCAGATGTGGGAGTACGAGCAGAGGATAGACACAGGTCTTTGGTAGAGCGTAGGGGCAGAACTAACTTATTGGACCCCTACATAGGATGTAACTCACAGGATGTAGAGCCTTCCAAGGCTCTATATATAAGGCTCCAGAGTGCCTGATCAGGCTAATACGATATCCTTGAAGGAGAGCAGCATGAAACTTCCATAAAGTGTATGCATGAATTTTATTAAATAATATAATAAACCAAGCAAAACACTTTTGTACGGACTGAGGTTACT